GCTCGTTTGGAAACACCTCACTAGTGGAAACCGCCTTGGCCTGGAAGCAGTCGAGCTCCAGGAACCCGCCTCACCTCGTGTGAGATATCGTCGCGCACCGCCTCTCTCCGGAGTGTTCCAGAAGTCGCTATAGTGATCGACAGGATAGAAGAAACCCCGGTGAGTCAACATTCCTTAATTTACTGCCTGATTAACATTTAATAATTGTTTAACCGCTCCAATTCTGTGTTCTCCCCATCAGGCAGGATTCCTTTCATCGATTTGGCAAGTAATAGTTTTAGTTTAGGGAAGAGCGAGTGCATTGTACCGCATGCTATAGTAGTCGCTTTTACATAAGCATAGAAGCAATCGCAGATATAGTCCACTTTAGTTAATATCTAGCGTAATAGGTTTGAGGTTTGACCGGGGAACTAGATTTCGGCAGCCTTAAACACGTGGCTCCACCAAATTTTATATTTAAGAAATTAATAGTTTATATTATTGTTTCATATTATAGAATAGTATTTAAAAAATCTAACGATATATATAAATATATTGTAAGGATTATGTAAAAATCATAATAAATAAAGGCTCCAAAGGTTTCGACTTAAAGTAAAAATGACATGCGAGGAAGGCAAAACCGCAATAAGCGTCCGTACGGTAACGCCGGCTGGTATAAAGGTCGAGCCGATGTCGGCTCAAGCGCACCTACCTTGGATGTCGGATTGACAGGATGCTGCGTATGACTGCGCACGTTGACTCTGCTATACGCAAAGCTCGATGTGCGCGGGCAATGCTACGTCCTGTCCTGACATCCAAGTTACCGACAAAGTCGAAGATAATCATCTATAAAACTTACATAAGACCCCTGCTAACATACGCTGCTCCGGCCTGGTATGCACTCCTGAGCGATCATCAGAAGCGGCGACTTCAGGCCCAGCAGAGTTTGTCATTGCGAACCATAGTCGGTGCGGGTCGCTACGTCCGTAATGACGTCATAGCGGCCAACCTCAAGATGGAGAGCCTACATGATTTCGTGGTCCGGCTGGCGCGCGGTATGTTTGACCGCGCCGACAACGGGCCACATGAACACCTCAACGGCTTCGCGCCGTTGCATGCAAGGCCGCCGGACCGGCGACCTTATCCAAGAGAACTCCTCCCTATATAGATTAGGGAGTCCGAGTAAACCCCTCAATGCCGCAGAAAGGCCAACTTTGACCAATTGTGTTATTTAAACACAATGTTTAGATAACCACTTTTTATTATAAATTTACCGACTGCGACAATAGTCGTTATAAGCAACGCCTTTAACATCAAGGCGCCCAGGACCGGCACATTGTAGTGTGCCGTGAGGAACATCCGGGTAAAGGGGTACACCCCGAGGCCCGAGACCTGCACGGCATTTATGCCCTGCAGAGGACAACAACGACGCTATCAAGAATCTCCTAGGTGTGCGTCGTTTGTGGTTAGCAGTGGCCACATACAACCGCCGGTACGACATACTCCACCGATCGTTGAGTCCGCTGATTCCGTGAGGCGTCGAGGTCACCGGCCCCTAGGCAGATTCTTAGACGCTTTGAGACGCGTACCTACTGTGCTTAGTCACGTCCTTAAAGTGCCACCACCGCACTTCCCGCAACCCTTTTGCTATAAAAGGGGTAGGCAGTGCCCATTGTGTCGAAGCTTATATTTTGTCATCACATCCGCGTCGCGCATCACCGGTTGCTGCCGATCGGCTGGTTATTTAGATAGGGCCTAGTAGATTACCACTGACTCATATAGGTAGGTTACCATCATGTCAGATAAGGATAAGGGGGAGCCCCCCCTAGATCAAGAAAACCGCCGGACCGTCCTGGCGTTTTGGAGAGGCCAATCGCCTATAGGGACATATTTAACCCCGAAAGGACTAGAGTATTGTCCTCCTACTCTCAAATCCCGACTAGAAAGCCTTCGTCGCCGGGTAAAGAGCCCGCACCGAGGGCCGCGCTCTCGCCCGTCGTACCTCAGTGTACGACCGGCCGGGAACCGTTGCCTCTACAACAGCGGGCATAGAAAACGCCACGAAGGCACACTTTACCCGAGACCGATGCCTCCCTCCACGAGAAGAGGCAGCGCATCGGTTCTCATGACCCAATTACTTCTGCATCATCATCACCATCATCATCATGATGAGGAGCCCCAACCCGTGAGTAGAAAGATAGTTCATACCTCACCTCCTAAGTCGCTATCACCACAACGACCACCATCCGTCTCACCGGACCGACGTAGTCACGACTCGGCCCAATATGAACAAGGAGGTGAGGAGTCCTACAGCTGGGGCTCTACAACTTATGCAACCCTATCTGCATCTGCCGGAAGATCATCCCCGGTGCAGATTACCAACCCGTCCGGGTTATCGCAAGATGACGGACAGCGGCCGTCAACAAGCTATGCCCACATGGCTGTGGCACCAGCAATACCACGACCACAAGCGGCGAAAGAGCCGCAGAAAACCGACAAGGAGAAAGAGAAAGCGAGATATCCGCCGATTGTTGCTGAATGCCTCCCGGACTGGACCAGGCATTTCGAGGAGCTCAACAGAAAGTTGGGCCACCCTCCTAATGCCCGTCCGTTCGGGAAGGGTGTAAGGTTCGCACCCCCGAGCCCGAAAGAGTTTCGAACAATACAGAGATATATGGTCGAGAAAGTACCAACCATGTCGTGGTATTGCTATACCCCGGCAGAGAAGAAGCCCACTAAAGTTGGCATCCGGGGTTTGCCAGTGGGCACGGACACCAAAATGATTGAGGAGGCTATCCGGGCAAAAGGCTTCCCCATCACTTATGTGAAGGCCATACCACCACGTAGAGGCAGACCGGGCTGCCTCTACTATGCACAGCTGGACCATCTGAGCCTGGAGCGGCTACAAGACCTATACCGGATCGACAAACTCCTCTATATGAGAGGAGTCGTCATCGAAGCCTGGCAGAGGAAGACGGGACCGGCACAATGCCACCGTTGTCGATTAAAATTATTTACGTGATTTACGATATTTTCAACGATAAAATTTAATAACCGAGAATTCAGAGAAGGAAAGAATGTATAAATCATTTTTTTTAACTCAACATACTTGATTATCAAATAAAAATATGTTTATTTCGCAACATTCGTTTTTGTACAATAATCATCATATTATTATGTACAACCCTAGCGCATTCGTGCGATGACGAGCTTGCACGTGAGTCGCACGGCGGACAACACAATCTCGACTCTTTATACGCGTATATATGGCACATGCAATTCCCCTGGTGCGGTTGATCATGGGCGGCGGTAGTCACTTAACATCAGGTGAGCTGCATGCTCGTTTGACCCCTCTTCTATAAAAAAAAACATTTTTTCTCGCTACGAACAGCAGATATATATTATTAAGATTAAGATAGATATTATTAAGATTTTGTAGGCTATTATAGCGTAGGTATTTTCGCTTTTGTATGGGAGTGATGTATCTGTTAGTAAACTATTTACTAATTTGTGGTATGACGCAATATAATTGATTTGGACGCAAGTTAAAGGTATTAAATATTTAAATGAAGTTGATTAATTAATTCATCACTTATAACAAAAATACTCATTGTTTTTCATTTTAGGTCATCAAGAACCAACAGCGCTCGCTGTAAATTTCACAGTACGCGAGCAAACCGGGTTCGATCCCCGCCGGCACCAATGAAATTGTTAATTGCAATTTTAATAGCTTATTTACCACGTGCTCGGCGGTGAAGGAAAACATCGTGAGGAAACCTGCATGTCCGAGATATAAGAAAAAAAATTCGAAGACATGTGAAGTTCGCCAACACGTATTGGGGCACCGCGGCGGACACTTCCTTGCCCTAAAACCCTCTCAGAAATGAGGGGAGGCCTGTGCCCAGCAGTGGGACGTATATAGGCTGTAACTTTACTTTACTTTACTTTAAGAACCAACACCACCCCACCATTCGCGGCAAATAAAACGTTAAATTTGCTGAACAATGCATGTGAACATATAACACCAAATGATTGGAAGAAGGTAATCGATAAAACGCGAAGAATTATCACAGAAGATTGACTGACACGCTTTTTGTGTGATCAGGAATTAATAATTAATCTCGAAGATTGTTCCAGTGACTCTGATTCTGATGATGATGATTGTGACTTAGGATGTACACCCTTGTGTCAATAAATTTACTATTGCAACTTTTTTTTTAATTTTTTTGTTAGCCCAAAATGAGTTCCAATGTTTAATAAAACTAAATTGTCCCATTGCTGGTCAACCTTCCACATCTCTCTTCTAGCAAACAGTAGTTAGATAAAGACTACAAATAATTATGTGAAAGTATTTGATTAAACGACTAAACGCGTATTTATAAAATAGCACTGTAACATTTGACCATGGAATAAATCTTAGGACTTCATGTCACCTAATGTATCTGGCTAGACAGATAAAGTACCTATACTATGAACTTATTAATACAAATTATCAGATACAATTGTGCTATAACATCTACCCTTTCAGGTATACAAAAAGTACTCTGTGATCTCCCCATAAAATGTATTATTTGAATAAAAATTTTAGGTTATTTTCTAATTTTAGATTATTTGCCATTTTTAAGTATATCTTTTTTCTCCCACTTTTTAGACTAACTTTCCATTTGGTTTTTTGTCAGTATTTTCACGATCTACAAACTATTAATAAGTTACCATGATGACTGTCGTCATCGACTGTCCGCTGGGTTGAGCTGTCGCCAAAATCTCCCAAAAACTTCGCAATGTGACGCATCAGATTATTATATTGTGAAGAAGAAATCTACAAAGAGAGGAAAACACGACTTAAAGAACAAGCATCTAAGCCAAACATCTTAACAAAAAACGTAGTCTGTGGATATGTTGTTATTGTCAATAATTGTCATTGTCATTTGACATTTGTCATTGCAGTATTTTCGGCTTTCGGTTACTTGTATGAAATGAATTTACAATAAATCAGAAAAAATTGTATGCTTTTAGGAAACATGGAGGTATTTAATAAGTTTTATTCTTCTGTCAGTAACACTGTATCCCAATTATCCGGTGTGTTGCCTGGGAATCCAGTAACAAGAGAGTTTGAAGCGACACAATTTATTGCTAGTGCAGGTCCAGGTAAAATAACAAAATCTTCAAAATAAGCTTTATCCAATGATTTAGACCTCTTTTATAAAATTGGTACAATTTTAGGTCTCCTTTGGAAAGTCTATAAAGGTTACAAAAAATCAACAAAACAAGAGGCTTCGATATTTGTTTTTGAAAAGAAACATCTCGAACGATGGACAAAAGCTGACAGAGATGTTATGATCGACATTTTAAGGCGTGGTATTGTGCAGCTTACAAAGCTTCGCCACCCGCAAATACTTACAGTGCAGCATAGCTTGGAAGAGAGCAGAGAAAGTCTTGCTTTTGCTACAGAACCTGTGTTTGCGAGCTTGGCGAATATTTTAGGAAATACTGAGAACATGTCACAACCTATTCCAAACAATTTAGTCAATTACAAATTGTATGAAGTTGAAATTAAGTATGGTTTAATGCAAATTGCTGAGGGTCTTGCATTTCTACACAATGACGTTAAACTCCTTCATCACAATATTTGTCCAGAATCAATCGTAGTAAACCAGCAAGGTGCTTGGAAGATATTTGGTTTTGATTTTTGCATTGCAAATCAGAGTTCCCCAGGTGCTGCCCCGTTTTGGCCATTTACAGAGTACTGTCAGGCTGTGCATCCATTGACTCAGCCTGCATTGGACTACCTTGCACCAGAGTATATTTTGTCAGCCACCCATTCACCGGCAAGTGATATTTACTCTCTTGGCATGATGATCTATGCTCTGCACAGCACAGGTCATCAAACATTGAGTAATGTAGGAAATGATTACACAAAATTTAAAAGATTTGTCAATGAAATCAGGAATCTGTCCCAATCTCGTTTGCTTTGTGTAACTGAAGGCTTAAGGGAATATGTGAAGCTCATGTTAAACACAACTCCTGAGCTGCGGCCAGACCCACATCAGTTCCTCAAGGTAAGATTTCTATATAAGCAAAGCAACAACATGTTCTAAAATTGTGTGTATGTCTCATCTTAAAGTTCTTAGATTGGTATAAGTACATCATGCTGCTCAGTAGAGCCTCGATAATTCAAACGCCTCTATAATCTAAACGACCCTCCCTGCTCAAGTAGATATTTCAATTTGAAAAAAAAAATGTTATTGCATAAATTGAGAGAACAGGGTGTAAATTTTGTGTGTATGGATTATAGAGGCCCTACTGTATCTACAATTTACTAATATTATTTTTTTCACAAATGCTGCATTTTACAACAAAATTGCATAACTTATTTACCACAACATATTAACATATTTATCTTTCAAGCTCTATAGACATATTGTCTATTAGCCTATCCCTTAAAAAATTATTTAAAATAATTTATGTACGCACATCAAGATACAGAAGCAGTCTTATAGTAATTTCATACAAAGGTTCTACTTATTCCATAATTTGCTGAAATATCTTCCAGTAGACCCATAAAGGAAATTATTTTAGTTTTAGTTTAGTTTACGACGGGCTGTTTTCTGCAACTCCACGTCTAAGCGCGTATTTTGCGTGTGGGCAGGAATAATATGCTTATTCGAGCCATGATATCTCCCCCGAAGAAGCTCAGCAGTCCCTTGATGTTGCAAGCGACTTCGGGGAGCGATCCCGGCGTGCCGAGATGTTTAGCCCTGTATAAAGCAACTTCTGGACAGAAATTATTAGTTTAGTTTAGTTTATGACGGGCTGTTTTCTGCAACTCCATGTCTAAGCGCGTATTTTGCGTGTGGGCAGGAATAATATGCTTATTCGAGCCATGATATCTCCCCCGAAGAAGCTCAGCAGTCCCTTGATATTGCAAGCAACTTCGGGGAGTGATCCGGGCGTGCCAAGATGTTTAGCCCTGTATGAAGCGACTTCTGGACATGTCAGCAACACGTGAGCCGCCGTTTCTTCCTCCCATGCATGCCCTGCACAGGGGTCTGTCAGTAACACCTATGGTGAACAAATGTTTGTTAAAAGAGCCATGTCCTGTGATAGCACTTGTTACTATCCTGATCTGTGGCTTGTTCAGTCTCATTAGAACCTTGGTTAGATGACTGTTTATTTCAGGTAGGGCCTCCCTAGCTTGTCTACAGTCTACAAAATTTTTCCAAAGCTGAGCGTGTCAATTATTGAAGTATCTACGTACCAGTGAACGAACGTAGCCAAAGGTGATTGGTATTTTTGGTTCCGGCCCTATAGTTGCTAGGGCCGATCCCCTTCTGGCCAGTTCATCTGCTGCATCGTTGCCTCTAGTTCCACTGTGTCCCTTGATCCATTGCAGAGTCACATTGTTGTGCTTACATACCTCATTCAATCGTTGATGGCATTCGTATATCAGTCCCGAGTTCGTCACATTGCAACTCAGAGCTTGTAATACCGCCATACTGTCGGTCAGTATTCTGATGGAGAAGTCTTTCACCTTCCTAGCATCTATTGCTATGGCCGCTTGGATGATACCCATGCATTCAGCCTGGAAGACTGTGTTGTGGGTACCCAGCGGTGTGCATATGTGGATATTAAGGTCTTCAGAGAAAGCCCCAGACACCACACCTTCATTTGTCTTAGAGCCATCCGTAAAAACTTTGAGCTCTCTTGGACCCAATCCTTCCATGGTCATTCAGATGGTCAGTTTCCTTCAATTGTATCCTGTACTTCTTATCGAATACAAATTGTTTTGGGATCCTATCATACTTGGCTTGTAAAATAGGAATTTTTGAGTAAATTCTATCGATTATATCTGTATGTATGGGGGACTCTACTCTTGCTTAAAAGATTTAGGGTCTTGAGTCTAATGGCAGCTAAAGTTGCTTCTTGTTGTATATGTAGATGAAGCGGTGTTAGCTCCAGCATAGCCTCCAAAGCTGCTGTTGGTGTTGTCCTTATGCAGCCCGTGGCAGCCATACAAGCTAATCTCTGGTAACGCTGAAGCTTTCGTATAGTGGTGGCTTCATTGGTTTTGGTCCACCATACCAGAGAGCCATATGTGATCATGGGCCGAATTACAGTTTTGTACAGCCACAGTATAATTTTTGGCGTTAAACCCCATCGTTTGCCAATCATGTTTTTGCACTTCAAGAAAGTTAAACTAGCTTTGCTGATTTTGTTTTCTATGTGTTTGTTCCAGTTAAGTTTACTGTCCAAGGTAAGACCTAGGTATTTTACCTCGGAAGAAAGTTGGAGTTTTGTGACAGAAATTATATTGAAATTGCAAACTTAGTGCATACATAAGGTCTACTAAAAATAAATAATATACAAAATGTTGCGTAAATTATATAAAATAAAACAATAAACAAAAATAAAATAAATCAATACATAAAATAATAAATACGATAGTTACATATGATATATACAATATGTAACATAATTAAAGCACACCCTCAGACACCCCAATTAGTATATTATGTTATAATCATAATACATACACTGAATGTTTAGTTAAACATTTTTATGCACTGATTATTTATCAAATTAGTTATACTAATTCCGGAATATACTAATGCCGTGTAGTGGCGGTTGAGAATATCCACTACCCCATATCTTCCCGTGGATGTCGTAAAAGGCGACAGAGGGAGATAGGCAGGAGATGGGCAGCAGCATCTTCCTGATAACCAACTGTGACGTAATAAAAAACTGCGGTTGCCAACCCGCTCGCCAAGCGTGGCAACTATGGCAATTACCCCCCCAATGAATAAATACACAAACAGACGGCCCCCAGTCCCCGGCGGCCCCGCTATTCCTGGCTACGGTGGCGACCATGGTAACGGCGGGGCAGGGGGTGCTAAGAATCTCCGGTGGAGGTTCGGTTGCCACCTACGACGACTCGACCTGGCAACATATAACGCACGCACCCTGAGGACTGACGAGAAGATACTAGAGCTGGAGGAAGAGGTAGACAAGTTGCGCTGGCATATTATTGGATTATCCGAGGTCCGAAGAGAGGGGGAGGACACGGCAATCCTCGAGTCCGGCAACTTGTTCTATCACCGGGAGGGCGACCATCTGTCCCAAGGAGGTGTCGGATTTATCGTCCACAAGTCTCTCGTCAACAACGTTGTAAAGATTGGGAGTGTGTCGACGAGGGTCGCGTACCTGATACTCAGAATCACCAAACGGTATTCGCTGAAGGTCATTCAGGTTTACGCACCAACCTCGGCACATCCCGATGAGGAGGTGGAGGAAATGTATGAGGATATTTCCAGAGCCATACATTCCTCCAAAACCCACTACACGGTGTTGATGGGAGACTTCAACGCAAAACTAGGCACAAGAGAAAGTGGTGAGCTGAAGGTAGGGAAATTTGGAGTAGGGCAACGGAACCGAAGGGGCCAGCAGCTGGCCGACTTTATGGAGAAAGAGGGACTCTTTATGATGAACTCTTTCTTCCAGAAGCGGCCCCACAGGAAGTGGACCTGGTCGAGCCCCGACGGTTCGACAAAAAATGAGATTGACTTCATTATGACGACCAGACGCCAACTGTTCAGTGATGTCTCAGTGATCGCAAGGGTGAAAACTGGCAGCGATCACCGAATGGTTAGAGGCACACTGAACCTAAACGTTAAGTTGGAGAGGTCTCGTCTAATGAAGTCAACGCTCCGTCCCCCTCGTGCTCTAATCCAGAATCCCGAAACCTTTCAGCTCGAGTTACGTAACCGCTTCCAGTGCCTAGAAGAGTGCAATGCAGTGGACGATATGAACGACAAGCTCGTGGAAACTGTCCATGCGGTCGGAGCTAAGTTCTGCAAGACCCGCCGCAGAAGAACACAAAAACTCTCCGATCACACTCTTAATCTCATGGCTGTTAGACGGGAGATGAGGCTGCAATCGTCAACAGATTTGACAGCATACAGGCAACTGAACAGACAGATCTCCAAATGCATGCGGCGAGACTTACCCAACTTTAATACTTCTCGTATTAAAGAAGCGATCGAGCGGAACCAGGGCTCCAAAGTCTTTGCCAGAGATCTGTCTGCCAGAAAGAGCCAACTGTCGAAGCTGAAGACTGAGTGTGGCAACATCGTTTCCGGGACACCTGAGATTTTGAGTGAGATTGAGAGGTTCTATGGGCAGCTGTACACATCATCGTTGGAGCCACACGCAAGTGTGAGTAACGATCCAAGAGCAAGTCTTATCCGACACTATTCCGATGATATCCCGGACGTCAGTCTGAGCGAGATTAGAATGGCTCTCCACCACCTTAAAAACGGCAAGGCCCCGGGCGAGGGTGGAATTACAGCGGGGCTTCTGAAAGCGGGTGGAAAACCGGTACTTGAAGTCCTTCGGAAGCTCTTCAATTCCGTCCTCCATGGTGGCACTACTCCGGAGGCGTGGAGCAGAAGCGCGGTGGTTTTGTTCTTTAAGAAAGGCGACAACGCTCTCTTGAAGAACTACAGACCGATTTCCCTTCTGAGCCGCGTCTACATGCTATTTTCGAGAGTCATTACGAATCGTCTCGCACGCAGACTCGACGACTTCCAGCCTCCCGAACAAGCCGGTTTCCGAAAAGGCTTCAGTACCATAGACCACATACATACCCTGCGGCAGATTGTACAGAAGACCGAAGAGTACAATCTGCCACTTTGCCTGGCATATGTGGACTATGAGAAAGCCTTTGATTCCGTCGAAATTTGGGCGGTGCTACAGTCCCTTCAGCGGTGCCAAGTTGACTGTCGGTACATCGAAGTGCTGAAGTGTTTGTACAGTAGGGCTACGATGGCTATCCGAGTACAGAACCAGAGTTCGAAACCTATCCAACTGCAGAGAGGTGTAAGACAGGGTGATGTTATATCCCCGAAACTCTTCACCGCTGCGTTGGAAGACGTTTTCAAGCTACTGGACTGGAAAGGATACGGTATTAACATCAATGGCGAGTACATCACTCACCTTCGATTTGCCGACGATATAGTCATTATGGCAGAATCGCTGGAGGACTTAAGCATTATGCTCAATGACCTCAATAGTGCCTCCCAACGGATAGGTCTTAAGATGAACATGGACAAAACAAAGATCATGTTTAATGTCCATGTCACACCTATGCCGGTAGTTGTTGGGAGCACTATGCTCGAAGTTGTTGACGAGTACGTTTACCTGGGACAAATAGTCCGACTAGGTAAGTCCAACTTCGACCGAGAGGTCAATCGACGGATTCAACTCGGCTGGGCAGCGTTCGGGAAATTACGACATATCTTTTCGTCAGGTATACCTCAATCTCTAAAAACTAGATTGTACAACCAGTGCGTGTTGCCAGTGATGACTTACGGATCTGAGACGTGGTCCTTCACTGCTGGCCGTATGAGGACGCTTAAGGTCGCTCAGCGAGCTATGGAGAGGGCTATGCTTGGAGTTTCTCTGCGTGATAGACTCAGAAATGAGGATATCCGCAGTAAAACCAGAGTGATCGACATAGCCCAACGGATTAGTAAGCTGAAGTGGCAATGGGCCGGCCATATAGCTCGAAGAACCGATAACCGATGGGGAAGAAAGGTTCTCGAGTGGCAGCCTCGTACCGGTAGGCGTAGTGTAGGGCGACCCCCCACTAGATGGAGTGACGACCTGGTAAGACATGCAGGAAGTCGATGGATGCAGGTGGCTCAGGACCGTGCTTTGTGGCATTACTTGGGGGAGGCCTATGTTCAGCAGTGGACTTGTGAAGGGCTGTAATGATGATGATGATGAATTCCGGAAGAATGTTGTGGTCACAGTACAAATCCATGAACGCAAAGACTTTAACGTGCTTGAAATAAAGTTCATTTTTCTTTATTTTTATTGAATGGCAGAATTAGTAATAATACAAATAAAACTGCACTCTTAAGAGTCTTATTGCCTTAAGTTACGGTCAATTTCAGTTTGTTTTGACTGTACAGATTTAGTGTGACTGTAATTTACGTAGTTTTAATTATTTTCGGGATAAAAAATTACCTATATTAAAAATGATAGGAATCGATTCAGTAAACGATTCCGAACAAACTACTTTCTCAAAGTGCGTTAATTATGTTACATGTTGTATATAAACTAAAACTAATATAATATTTCAATCAATTTGGGTACCACACAACATATTAAAGATTATACACTTAAAATTTAGTGATGTAGGTTTGAAATTTGCTTGGCAGCTAATATAGATATAATAATGTACTTCCGGTCGAATTTTGTCACTTACTGTCATAGTCCTATGGTACAGTAATCTGATACAAATGGAGAGATCAAATGCATGAGGGTGAATTACCATGAACTTCCTGACTTCAGGTAGCTACTAAAAAATTCTTGACAGAATGTATCATATATATACTGGGTGATGATTTTTACCATCTGGAAAATGATATGGTGTTTTGTGTAAGTGGAATAGAAGCTATCCTCGAAAGTATTTGTAAAATATAACAATATATATCTAGATAGGTAAAATTTCCTAAATCCAAAAAACAATAAGTCCTACGGTGTTTGCGTAAAACTAGGCTATGATCGCTAGTGAATGAAAGTTGTAAGAGCGAGTGAGACACATACATATCTTTCGCTATGACGCCGCCAGGTGGCCGAGTGGGAGGGGAGTGGCCGATACATCGTTGCAGCCAAAATTTTTGGAATCAGCTGACCGCACCTTACATTACAAAAAATTATTTTATTCTTATAAATATTATATAAAGTGCCTTTTGATATTTATTTTTGATTTTGACTGCTTCGATGGTCTAGTGGTTGTAGTAGTGTGACAGCCATTCATGAGGTTCTGGATTCGAATCCCAGGTCGAGACAAAAAAAATCAATTTATTGAGTTTTTCCGTCAAGAAATCCTTAGTAACTGCCCGGAGTCAGGAAGTTGGCGGTGTATCATCCCCGTGCCTCGGAAAGCACGTAAAGTTTTGGTTGGTGGTGGTTTTTTCGCCTATAATGTCAATAACCTTAAATGTTCAGTGTAAGTAGACTTCACAGTACTACTTACTGCCTATTAATGCAAGATCAGCATATACTGGTTATTAGTAAAATACGTGGTTAATAAAAGAAAAATCTAAATAAGGAGCACTTCTCATTGCCACTCTTTCATTAATAATGACGTCGCGTGTCGCATGGTTGTAAATAGCAAAAAAAAAATTAAACAGGAAATGGTAAGTAGGTAAATTACATGTATGTAATGAATAGAAAACAGTTTCTAATAATAATTTAATTATGTCTACCTTGGCGTATTTAAAAGTTCGAAATCAACTTCTTTACAAACATTATTGTTATTTACAAATAAAAATTCCTTTTTAGCGATATCGCAGTAATTGTTCAATATGTCAAAATGTAAATTGTTCAAAGTGTGTCTCTATCACTTCTAATCACATTAGTTGCGTCTATTATACGCTGCTTTAAATCACTAACACTTAGTGCTTCTTCTGTGTACTTCTGTGTTTAGTTTGGCCCATAAATAAAGGTCTAGAGGTCTGGTGATATCACCGGCCAGTTCACAGGTCAACCGTGACCTATCCACCTATCACCGAATTGGCTCGCCATTGTTAGATACTAGACATTAGAGTACTGGTACATGTTTACGAAATCACGCGGAAACATAAACAATACGACGGCGAAGCGACGTCACGCCTCATAACTACACGTAACTGAAATGAAAGCCTGTGACCCTACTAATTTTATTGTTTTGTTGCCACTCGTAAAGTAGGGTGGATATCATTTGAATTTCGATAGATTTTAATTGATTTAATTCAAAATTTTTGTTTTACTTAATTTTTTTTTTCAATATCAGTGCCCATAGGCTTCTACTCTGTTCACCTGTTACACCTTTTTTTTTCAGACGGTAAAAATAGTCACCCAGTATATTAGTATTATATTTGCAAAGAGGTACTGTGCTCTCATAATCATTTTGCCAATGTTAATTAAATCTGTGACAGTAAAAAAACATTGTGCTTTCAAATTAGTGTGAGGTGTATTTGACAGTTTACTACTATAATCTCACCATTTTGTATTGGTACTCTTTTACATATCAGTTGTATTAAACTGCATTTTATTACAATTTATAAGTAATTATTTAATCTCCTATACTGGTAAAATGTTGCATGACATTGTATAAAAGTTGTAACAATGAGTGTGGATACAATTATAGTTAAACTGAAGTAAAATCCATGTAAATGTGATTAACAAAAGTTATTATTTGGAACATATTGCAAATTGTGCAAATGTGTACAATGTTATGTAATCTGGTTACATTTTAAAATTTGCAATATCTTTTGATACGAAGCAAAATTCGAAGTTTTAAAAAATGTTTGTCAGCGATAGATAGCATTAATATCTAATATAGGTACTGCACATATTCACCCCACCGAATTCATTCACCAACCTATTAGGTAATATAATTGCAAATCATCCATCAATCCAATCATCCATCTGGGCTGCCATTTACATCTTTGTTCCCAAAGAAAACCTAAGAAATGCAGCAATTTATATTAATTAAAGACTACAAGTATCTACATAACTGACGTAATTTCAATTAGTCACAAACTCATAAAAATGCAGTTTTAGTTCATTTGAGGGCAGGGAATGGCAGCCCTGACGGATTTTACTAGTTTACAATGGGGTTGATGTATGAATAAGATGAAGTGACGGTTTCTGTTATAACAATGTGCAATATTAAATATAATTATAATATTTTATTCACTTCCAGATTCCTTATTTTGAAGATGTTGGTGTCAAGACTTTAAACTATTTGGATTCATTATTCCAATGGGACAATTTACAAAAGTCGCAATTTTATAAAGGCCTGCCACAAGTGATACAAAAAATGCCACACCGTATTTGTATATATCGAATTTTACCATGTCTCGCCAAGGAGTTTGTAAACCCACCTATGGTGCCATTTGTACTTCCAAATGTGCTACTAATTGCGGAAAACTCAACTAAAGAAGAGTATGTTAAATACATTCTTCCAGTATTAAAACCAGTGATGCTGATTCAAGATCCAATACAAATACTCCTAATATTTATGCAGAAGATGGAGCTTCTGCTGAAGTTGACTCCAGGGGAAGAAGTGAAGACTGACATATTGCCAATGTTGTACCGAGCTCTGGAATCTGATGCTCAACAGATTCAGGAACTTTGCCTGTCAGTGTTGCCAACATTTGCATCCCTTATAGATTATCCAGCTATGAAGAATGCTTTATTGCCCCGTATTAAAAAGCTGTGCTTGGGTACAAACTATATTTCTGTGCGCGTTAATTGTTTGCTTTGTTTGGGTAAACTGTTAGAACATTTAGACAAATGGTTGGTGTTGGATGAGATTATACCTTTCTTACCTCAAATACCATCAAGAGAGCCTGCTGTTTTAATGGGAATTTTAGGTATAAAAATTTACATTCTCAATTTTTTTTGTAGCTTATATTTGAAGATCAAGCTTAACAATTGTAAAATTTTATATTTACAGGCATATACAAACTAGCTCTTAGCCACAATAAGCTTGGTATAACAAAAGAAGTGATGGCCACAAAAGTACTGCCATTCCTGATCCCGCTTTGTGTGGAGAATGGGCTAACTTTGAACCAGTTCAATGCATTAATAACACTTGTAAAGCAGATGATCTCTAAAGTAGAGTCTGAGCATAGAGCCAAGTTGGAACAACTTAATTCTATACAGAATGAGTCTAAGTATGTTTTAATAAATTATAATAACACAAGCCTAATGGTTTAAAGTACAGACTCTTAAATATATTGTTGATGGTTCAAATCTGATATTTGAAAATTGCTTTATAGACGTGTAAGGGTATATTAGCAATCTTAATAGTATTTCCAGTTTTTTTTTTCAAGGCTTGAATTGTATTTTATTTATAAAAAGATGTTTAAGCCCCATTCGTCCGTTTTTAAAAATTGTAGATTTTATTATTTGACAAGAGTAATAAGATAAACGCGTGTAATTTTTTGTAACTTTTTATAGAGGTAACGGTGATTAACGAGTACTCAGTCGCCCTGACGGTAAGAGCACACTCTAATGCATAGTCAACTATAACTATCATTGATTAAGAATCCAAATGCATATGCATTATCACTTATCACCCTCGGTAACTGAGATGAAATGTCTCATTAGCAGTAAAAAGTGCCTCCGGTTCTATTGGGCTGCTATTTTACACTGGAACTTTGAGTGTGGTCCTTCTCTATTCGTGCCAACCAATTTATGCTGCATAATATAGTAACTTTGTAGCTCTACCACATACTATATCTATTTTATGGATAGTCTTTTTTAACTTTCTGTTACAAAACAACCGAGGAGAGGTTTTGTCTAAACGATGATAGATTATTTCAAAATATTTACTTTTTTCAGAGTAATGGAGCAAGCATTAACATCTACATCGGACAGCTTAGTTCCTGCACCGACTCCACAGACAGACATTGACAAGATGTTCTCAGGCTTGGGTTTGGATCCTTTTGCTTTCAGTAACAGTAAACAACTGGAAAAACCACAGCCTACTAGCATACCTAGTGTTGGAGTTACTACAGGCTCTTTAAGCATTGAAGAAAAACAAAGGTCAGTACCTAATATAGTTCTATAAAGCAGTCACATAGTTGCGTAAAATATATATGTTTAAGTTGTCCAATGGTATTATAACAAACAAAGCAGATGTTTCAAAATGGGCCAGGTCTATGTACACTAACGTAAAAAAAAGAGAAAGATCTGTAGAATTCGGGAAAAATACAGATAATTCATTTAAATGTATCGTGTCTTGGTAAATAATTAATGTTTCTCAATTATTTTTATCGACTTCCAACATAGCGTCTTGCCGATTTAGTTACTTTGTGCTTATAGACAATGACAGTAAACCATAAAGCCACCATTGATCATAGAAAGAGAACTGTCAGTTATTACAACAGTGTCAAAAATACGTGAAATAAACATGTCAAACGTAGCTAACCAATAAAAATGACAGTTTACTGTCATGGCGGGTTTTATTGTGTGTTGCAATATCCTGTGCTTTACCAGCAAACAAAGCCATTATAAAATAATTTGACAGTTTAGAACCGCTTAAACTGTGTTTCCCTATATTTGAGTATAGTGTACAAGGACCTGGCCCAGGCTCCATACATTTTGAAATATCTCATTTGACGCTTATCTGTTTGGCACAAAGTCAGTTTTGGATTATCAACTTATACTGGATTTATATATTTTTTTTTGTTTTCCGTACATCTACAAAATATTTAAAAAAACAAGCAATTTATAACTGTTTAAACTTGTTTTACATATTTTAATTAGTTGCAAGTGGCCCACGAATCATTAGAAACTGTAAACAACATGTTTCTTCAATGTAAGAATCTGCCATTAGTTAGCTGTAGAGTATATAAGCGTTAACTTTTATATCTTTAATAAAGCTGATGTGATAAACTTACAGTCCACCTGATGGTAAATGGTTCTTGCACACATCTGCAACCAACTTCAACAAAAAAGGTTACAGATGCGTTATAACGTCACATTTAGAGAAGAGCCTCATACAACCTATTATGAAACTGATTCTCTATACATTTCAAACCAGAATACAGTAATTCAAGCACTTCTATTTAGTTGCAGAAGTAGCTAATAAGCAGAAAACCACCACTTGGTTAATTTATTTATTTACAACAGGAAAACTTACAGCTTTTAATTAATACTATATGGTATATAATGTAATTCACAAAGTAAGCCTATTAGAAGTTTTCACAGATGAGTAATCGGTTTGGGTAAATACATACAATAAAATAAGATAAAATCATTCCACATATTGCACTTAAAAATTAAATGCATAGTGTCTTTTATTGTTTTTGGTCAAGTTCTTTGACTTCCTATATTTAATAATACTTCTTACAATATCTTGGCTTGATGACTTGGCTCCGTGCGGCTTTATTGATATCAGTTTCTTTTTTTAGGTTAGCGACTCAACAAGATACCGCCCGAAAATTCTCTCGTCAACCGCCACCAACAGCTATACCAGCCCCTCAAACGAAACTCCCAAAACCAGTAGATCTAACGAGCTCATTACTGGAAACCAATCTTAATCAATTAACACATAAACCGTTTTCAACAATTCCAAACCCCCAACCCTCAATTACTCATAACACCTTAGCTATGAACCAACCAAGTCCTAACTACAGTTCAAACTTGATGCTGAATTCCACATCGTTGAACTTCGGATATAGCCATAATCCTACAGGATTTAATAGCCAGCCGGCCTTCCCAGCTAATACGGGATGGGCGGCGCCGACAAATGCGAACTTTAATAATAAATGGGCTAACGACCAGAACAACCAGACCAGCATGAAGCAAGACTGGTCTGCTTTTGAATCTCTCCTTCCAACTCAAAATAATAACAATAGTAATAGTGTTAAAAAGGAAGACACCAGTGAAATGATGGACTTGCTAAGTTAGGATCTGCCCTGCAAGTAATCAACCGGAATTGCTGGTTGATTTCAGGTATCAGGTGTAAGATATAGTTTAGGGCAATCAGTACTTACCGGAATATTCGTAGGAGAATAAAAATTATTGACATAACCTAATAAATCAGTAACATTGGGTGGACCATATAACTTGTGAATCCTGAGGAGAGAAAAATTTGTCGTGCGTAATACCCCATTTTTATGGACTGACGACATGACAAAGTATGCGAAAAATTTAATATGGCTTAGTGGTAGTCTTCGGGGGAGCTCGAGTGATGTTTATAAAATGTGCCGATTAAAGTGTACTCAAACTGTAGTGTTTGATAGAAATTCTCGCATTTGTAATGTGTGTACGTCACTATAATGTCATAGTTTCGACAAAAAGGCCATTTATTCTGTCCTCTTTTCTTATAGTATGAGGTACAAACGATCACGTGGCTCACCTGATTCTGACTACCGCCGCCGCCCATGAACAACTGCAACACCAGGGGAATCCCAGGTGCGTTGCCGTTGCCGGCCTTTTAAAAAGGAGTAAACACGTTTCTTGAAGGTCCTTAAGTCGTACGGGTCGGAAACATCGCCTGTGTTAAACGATCCCGTAAAGAAATCGTGCGGGGAAGAAAACTACCAAGTAGTAGTAAACCACCAAGCATCCAGATGACATGGATATCGGGAATTTTGTTGCGATGAGCGTCGGTAGAGTGTGGTGGATGGAATTAATCCGAACAATTTCTCTGACCCCTTCCCGTGAATAATTCGATAGAAAATGCAAACAGAATGTGACATCTCATGCCCTAGTGAATCTAGCCGATCAGTAAGAACTCGGTCGTTGAAGATTTGAGCCGCTCTTGCTTGGATGCGGTCAAGTGGAAGGATCTGGCACTGTGGTGCCCTGGCCCAGAGATGAGCACAGTATTCAATGTGTATACCCATATACACAACTGGGGATAAGGAATAAACTATCGATTTTATCGATCGAGCAAATAGCGCCAAGTTAATCCGAGCTTGCCGATCCTACAATTTTTTAATTGGACAGAACTCAAATAATAGACATTCAGGCAAACTTCTCTTTTCCGGAACGTTCTACCATAAAAGTGATGCAATTTTTAACAGGTTTTCGAAATATAAAGAAGTTGCGTCGGGTGGATTTCTTTGTTCTCAACGAATCGAATGTGCCTATTCAAATATGTGAAAAGCGCGCTACAAGTATCTAGATCTTTAGCTAGTATTCGAACCAGAGATCTAGCACAATAAAAAAGTAACATTAAACAACATAAAATGTCTCGAGAGTGGATTTTGTCGTTTTCCTAGTGCCTGTAAATATTTAAAAGGTTATGATTTCTTATATTTACGCGAACACTACACATTGAAATAATACTAGTTTTTACGGAATTTATCACGTATATTTAACTTTTTGAATACCCGACGCCCGACGTTTCGAACGCTTTACAGCACTCATGGTCACGGGCGGGACTGAGATGTTCAACGTCCAGATGTCATAGTTAACCGCGGTTACTATAGATTAAAATTTAACTTTTGTTCCGATCTACACAGTATGAACTTATGGTATCTTGAAGTCTTGCAGTTGTATGCTTGGGTTGGGATTTAATTTTATTTATATACGATCCCAAGCAGATGGTAGCACCCAGCCATGTTCTCTATTGAAATTAGGATGTTTTTTGATTAAAACTACTTTTACGGATTTTATCGCGTTTATTTTTACTTTTTATTTACTTTTATTTTTAATTCCCGACGTTTCTGGCGCTTTCCAGCACCCATGGTCAGAGGGGACTGAGATGACTGACGTCCTGATGTCATTGTTAAACCCAGAGTACCTTCAGCTTTTTTAATTATTGTTTATGGTCCGATCTATGCAAAATGAAGTGACTATGTCCTGAGGTCTTGCAGTGGTATGCTTGGGTTAGTTTTAATTTTATTGATTATAGGATCCCAAGCAGGTGGTAGTACCCAGCCTCCTTCTCTATTGAAATTAGGATGTTTTTTAATTTCAATAGCCTCACGTATCATCCTTGGTAGGAATCGGTGTTCTTTCGCGAGGATTTGTGGTCTATCAAATCTGATGTAATGGTTGGGTCCGTCTAGGATATGATCACAAACTGCAGACTTCCCGGAACGTTGATGCTTCACATCAGCTATATGTTCTTTTACGCGGGTCCTAATTGATCTTTTTGTTTGTCCTATATAAGAGAGCCACATTCACAATCAAGCTTGTACACTCCTGCATCTTGTAGAGGAATATGACACTTGACAGATGGTAGGAACTGACTAATCTTCTTCGGCGGCTTGTAGAATGTTCTAATAGAAGCTCGCTTCAAGATATAGCCAATCTTGTCTGTGACACCTCTGACATATGGTAGTACAGCAGGCACACGCTCGACTGTGGCCGGCTTCACTTGGTCACTGTGACGTAGGCGCGGGACCCGAAGCTTGTTGTCGTGCAGAACTTGCTTGACGTGCTGAAGCTCGGCGGCCAGGTGTTTGCTGTCACAGATCCCTCGTGCTCTCTGTAACAAAGATTTGCCCACGGTAGCTAACTGTGAAGGATGGTGGTGAGATTCACCGTTTAAATATCGATTTGTATGGGTCCTTTTCCTTTACACAGTGTGACCAATGGTGTTATTAGGATTTCGGATGACTAACACATCTAGGAAAGGTAAGGAATTATTTGCCTCTAACTCCATTAATAGACTTCCCGGAGCGTCGATTCTTCAAATCAGCTATATGTTATTTAACGCGGGTTTTAATTGATCTTTTAGTTTGTCCTATGTAGGAGAGACCACATTCACAATCAAGCTTGTACACTCCTGCATCTTGCAGAGGTATGATATATATCAGATGGTATCAAGGGGGTATCAAGGTGATAACACCTTGAGCCATACTGTGTATAGAAAAAAGACCCATACAGATAGATATTTAAACGGTGATTCTCACCATCATCCTTCACAGTTAGCTACCGTGGGTAAATATTTGTTTCAGAGAGCACGAGGGATCTGTGACAGTAAACACCTGGCTGCCGAGCTCCACCATGTCAAGCAAGTTTTGCATGATAACAAGCTTCGGGTCCCGCGCCTACGTCACAGTGAAAGAGTGAAGCCGGCCATAGTTGAGCGTGTACCTGCTGTACTGCCATATGTTAGAGGAGTCACTGACAAGATTGGCTACATCTTGAAGCGCGCTTCCATCAAAACCTACTTCAAGCCGCTGAAGAAGATTGGTCAGCTTTTACAATCAGTCAAGTGTAATGTCCCTCTGCAAGATGCAGGAGTGTACAAGCTTGATTGTGAATGTGGTCTCTCCTACATAGGACAAACTAAAAGATTAATTAAAACCCGCGTTAAAGAACATATAGCTGATGTGAAGAATCGACGCCCCGGGAAGTCTGCAGTCTGTGAACACGTACAGGATCGCTCCAGTCACTACATCAGATTTGATAGATCACAAATCCTCGCTAAAGAACACCGATTCCTTCCAAGGATGATTCGTGAGGCTATTGAAATCAAAAAACATCCTAATTTCAATAGAGAAGATGGCTGGGTGCTACCATCTGCTTGGGATCGTATAATAAATAAAATTAAATCCCAACCCAAGCGTACAACTGCAAGACTTCAAGATACCATAACTTCATACTGTGTAGATCGGAACAAAAGTTAAATTTTAATCTATGGTAACCACGGTTAACTATGACATCTGGACGTTGAACATCTCAGTCCCGCCCGTGAACATGAGTGCTGTAAAGCGTTCAAAACGTCGCGCGTCGGGTATTAAAAAGTTAAATATACGCGATAAATTCCGTAAAAACTAGTATTATTTTAATTTAAAAGGTTATTCTTACTTTAACATTCCTATTACATGGTATGACAATTATGAGGGTATTTTTATATTAAAATACCGTTTTGTGTAACAAAACTTATTTATTCGAATTAGTTATAAATATAATATATCATAAATCATAATGTACAACTATAAATAATTTATTTGGGTAAAAATTGTCTTAAAATTAAGGTAATAATAATTATTATTGCATAAAATTGAAAAGATATCCTAATTTGCAATTGATTTGCAAATAATATGAAACAAAATACAAATCATTTATAGCCAATAGGCATGGATAGTATTGAATGTTTATTATTTAGCCCTTCAATCCCCATAAAAATCCCATGCAGTCGCATGCGTCTGGCATATCCCGAGCGGTCACATGCGACCGCATCCACCCACAGCACTTTAAACAATTAAAACTTATATTTCGAGACTATATTTCTATGAAGAAGTTTGGCATTATAAAATCTATACAAAATTCTCTATCCTGTTGTCTAAACAAAAGTCAGGTTTTACTTCATTACAAAAAGATTTTATTGTATTTTGATAACAAAAAAAAATACATAACAAGCGGATGTCGGCAGCGTGAAACTCAAAATTATTTCTACATATATTACTCTAATTTATTTACGTAAAACGATAAATTATATTCACACAAAAACTTTCATTACAATTTTATAATAAACACTATACTAAAACACTATTAAACACCAAAAAAAATCCAAAAATCAACACAATAACATTCACACGAAAATGGAGTACGAAATGAACGTAGATTATAAATAAATATTCATAAACTAACTGACTTTTTATTCCACTAGAGGATGGAAAATTTCATATTGATTCTATAACGCCAAACTTCTTCATATAAAAGTAGTCTCTAAACATAAGTATTGATGGGTTAAAGTGCTATGGGTGGGTGCGGTCACATTTGACCTCTTGAATTTTGACGGAATATCAAAGCGGTCAAATTTGGACGCTTGTCGTTTGAGAGGCTAGATAACATTATATTTTCCTATATATTTACTCAAGTGTATTTTATATATTTTGGCGCTAATTACGGATGTGAAAACAAATAATTATCTGTTGTTATTAATAAAATAGCATATTTGAGCAAGCATTATTATTATGTTTATAATATAACTGTTAAATAATAATTTATCTATTATTTTATTATCTATTATTAATAAAAGTGCTTATGTAATTAGAGTTCACAACCCTATGTTGCAATAGTTTTATTTATTAATTGAAAATGTAATGATCTCTTATACATAAAATTTAATAACGAACGAAGTTGTATTTTTATTCGTTTTGGATTTGATGTGATTTTCTGAATGAATGTAGTGACACTTGTTTTTTAGTATTTAGGTGTTATTATTTATGATATAGATTAATATCTTCAAAAATTTGGTCATATTTATGTACAAAATATTCGCTGATTTCGGGTTCCATATTGAGTGTCATAAAATTCTTAATCGTATTTTATAGCACCATAACTGCACACATTATTTCGCATAAAGTTATGTCCGAATAATTTGTTGGTTATATTTTTTCTGCCCATAATTTCTGTTACATAATGGCAATGTGGTTTTTTGTCAAAATTCTTTTATACCTTAATCTACTGTGACAGTGTTTGACCATTCATTTGGCAAATCATTAGACGCGTCAATAAATATTATTACTTTTACATGTGTGAACGACCAGACTAGCAACTTAAAACTGTGGTGCAATCGGAGCACCGCCAATTTTGTGAATTTTTTACTTTTCTCAATCCCATATCCGGTCTTGAATGAGGACAGGTTTATATACTTATATAGTGGTATAAAGTTTGTCTCTTTAGAGCTATATTTCTGTTTGGAAAAAGGTTTTTCGATATTATTTGGGTACTAACTCAAGCAAAATTATGTAAAAATATTACTTATAATGGTATTAACTGGCTATAATATTTTAACCGATTACGAAACGAGAAGGTTCTTTATTCGACGCATATGTTATTTGAATATTCACAGTTTTTTAGGAAACTGCTGAAACGATTTAAACGATTCTTTTTTATTAAGTAGTTAATACTTCAGGGCTGGTCCGTTATAAATTTAGAGAAAATTAACATCCCTAAGGGTGGGAAATTATCATATGAAGATTTTATTGTTCCTATTGTAGCAATATTCTTGTTAATTTGAACTTGGCTATTATTATTATTTATTTAGATTACTCAGCAGGGTGAAGTAAACATAAAAAAATTAAAAACTTCAATAACAAAAAATAAAGTACCACCAGTATTAGCTTCTAGAATTGGGACTTTAATCATTTGTGTGAAAATTATGTATTAATTTGTTTTTGAAATTTTTTGACTGTTTATAAAAATGTTACTATTTCAAATACGTAACAAATTTTCAAATGAAATGAGCAAATAAATTTAATATAACATTTAAAACATATCTTAATATGGCTTTAAGGTATTGAATGCATAATTTTGAATATAAAAATACGGAGCTATACCAACCTTTTTGCACATTAGTTGAGCATCTTTTTTTAAATACCTACTGTCAATGCTATTAACACTACCATTCATCATTCACGGTGTTAGGGGTGGTTTTGTACAGTAGTCTAATGTTAGATTCGAACTCACGATCTCTTCATTACGAATTCCAAATCATTAGGCTGCTGCCAGTTTTTTCTTTTAATATTTACTGTCTCCGCCTTCTAAATGACGACGCGAGGAAAGCGCATGCGGTGGAAACCTGAAGAAGACTGGCTATAAAGAAGCAGGTCCTATACTCGTAGTTGTATGCAAGCGACCAGATCATGATCGACACGGCGACAACTACGTTGGCAGTGGTCATAGTGGCTGTTGTGTCGAATTCGTTGAGCGTACTGTTATAGAGAGGCTGCTCGAGTATATTGGAGGCTGCTGTTGAAAAACTCGCCAACATGCACCACACAACGAGGAAACTTTTGTTCTCGGTCAGTGTTATACCTGAAACAAAAGAATATAATTTTATTACATGTTTGTTTTTATTAAATAAGGGTGACAAACAAGTACACAGTACACACACACACAGGTAAGTGGATGTTGTGGCGCATAGATATCTACATCTTTCCTCGATTATGAATCAATTGCAGAAGTCATGTTGCCCCTGAGGACTATGGAATGCCTTGTTTCTAGTCCAAAAAAGTCTCTAATTCACTACACTCACCATACGAAACAGCAACATTTCACACTGGTCTTTTGTGAGACGTTGCACCCGACCTATTCGTGTTACAACTATAATATAGCTGCAAAGTGGTTCTACCACGTATATGTAGCTGTAGTTTGGTTTAACGGCCAGATATCGAGAACAAATGGCCACCATTAGATGAAGTGAGGACCTCTTAAAATATGCAGGTGGCTAATAATCGTGTTTTGTGGCGTACTTTGTTAAAGCCTGTTTTCTGCAGTAGACAAGTGTTATAAATCGTAATGATGATGAGGATGGCCTAAGTCAATTATAACTATTCCTAAACGTTGTAAACGGGATATTACCCTCCCGTAAAACATCCCATAAAATAACAACCAATGACGAGCAGCGTGAGAGGTGCAAGACATCTGGTACTGCGATTGTCAATTCGCAGGCCAACGACGCGATTAAGTTACTTTTTAACCGACTTCAAAAAAGGAGGAGGTACTCAATTCGATAGTGAAATGAATCTGATGATCATTTACGGTAACTCCAGCAGGGTGAAATTTTACAATCGTTAATGCTAATAAATAACAATAAAAATGATTTTTTGCGGTGTATGAAAATACACTTCCACATATCAACCTATGGCGGGTGTCGTAAAAGGCGACATTGGGACACTGGAACTAGAGACGGGCAGCTGTATTTTCCTGATAACAACTCAAAAGAATAAAAATCTGTCAGAATCAGAAGAATGTGGCAGAATTGGTAGATTGTTTTAAGTGATCATTTACCACTTGCTTGCCAAGAAAGCTCACAGGAAAGAAGAATCCTGGTCCCATGAGTCATACACATGTGCAGACTGATAATCACTAAGATTTTATTTACTTATTATAAGCTTTACTACTTTTCCACCGCGATGCTTTTGAAAACCCAGATTTTAATCGGACGGAAAGACACGCCGGCCCTTTATTTCCCTTTCGCTATACGTAGCATGTACCACAAAGAAAACCCTTTGTACTTCGAATGTGTGGGATATCGACAATAAAATGGTGTAGATCGGCCGATCGTCCGTCCTTTTTTTATAGGATAGGGTGACAAACGAGCGCACAGTCCACCTGATGGTAAGTGGTTGCTGTGGCCCATAGGTATCTACATCTATCCTCGATTACGAATCAAAAAGCAGATGCGTTGTCACCCGTGAGGACTAAGATGGAATGCCACGTTTCCAGTAAAAAGGGTCTCCGGTTCTCTACACTCACCATACGAAATACAGCAGCATTAAGCTACTATTTCACGCTGGTATTCTGTGAGAGCGTGGTCCTTCCCCGGTCGAGCCGACCCATTCGTGCTACAACTATACATCTGATATAACTGCAGCAATGGCTCTACCACGTATAAAACATCCTATGGTAGGAGGGGAGAAAGAAATGAATTCGTGCAATTCTCGCGCAAACTACCCGAAATGTATTATATCGAACACAAAAAAGTAAGTAAAATTTCTTACCATAAAAGCCCAGAGTACCACATGCACAGCATGCTGCGCACAACCTCGCCTTTTGATTGATGGACTTCGGCAGCACCACGCATAACATTATGAAGCACAGCGCTGCGCCATGCGCTGCAGCTATGAGTGTGGACACCTGGAAAAAACGATATTATCAATATGATACTTAAAAATTCTATTTAACCTAATGCCCCAGAAAGGGTTTTGTTTTTCGAGTATGTAGAAATATATGTTTGTTCATTTCTTTGTAACATTCAGTAGCATGTGTAAGGTGTTGTAAGTTTTGTCATCGTTTCCAGTGTCATAAATTATTCTTTATCGAATTTATACCCATACAACCCACAAAAATCTATATACCTACCTAGCATTTGCTTGAGATGCACTTGTTATTTATGAGAAATTAAAAAAATGGATTAGTGGTGACGGGATTAGTGCACGCAATTGAGGGAGGGCGGGAGGTGCTCTTCAATCCAGGTAAGACACATCATTGTGTTTTTAAGCGGGTGGTTGCGAATTAATTAGTATCTTCATTATGATAGCCAGCCAATATTTTTGGAAAACTATAATAATTATTACCCTTAACCGATCAGCATGTATACGTAGGTACCTATACCTATAGATGTGGAAGAGGCGAGAGAGGTGTGTCAGGATCGTACCAAATGGAAGTCTGTAGTCTCTGCCTACCCTTCTGGGTGTCAGGCGTGAGTGCTTATATATAAAATTATTCTTTTTTAAATTCTGAGTGTATTATGATTGTCCTTGCGTCGATAACACCTCCTTTTTTATGGGTTGGGAATTTTGCATTAATGGCCCTAAAATAACGGATTTTAGATTTTTAAAAAATAAATGATCCTTAAAAGAGCTTTTTGAAACTCTCTCATAGAAAAATATTTGAAACTGAGGTGTTACCTTAAGTATTCCATTTTACTGAATTAGACACGGAACCTTAAAAAATCTGTCACAGTGCAAATCGAAAGCGATATCATAAAAAATCGTAAATATATTTTACTAACCGACCAAATGTTCATTGATGGATTTTGTTCCCATATTAGAGGCGGAAACACAACTCCCAGCACAAGAATTGAAAAAGTTGTGCACAAGTGTAAAAGTGTGTACAAGTAAAAATTTAAATCCTGCAGCATATTCACGACGGTAATAAAGTTCTTCTTTAATGACGCCGTTCTTCTAGCTGTTCCAGGTGTCACTTCTGCGGAAAAGATTAAACCATTCTGCGGTGCGTTAATGGTGGTCTCTCGGTACAATGGTTGGGGGTTTGGAACTTCTTGCTCTATGCTCGTCAGCTCCCTATATCCGCTAATACGACTAAAGCTATTAACGTCTAAAGCGCCGAAGTCTGTAGAAAATCGATTGGCACTAACATCCGTGAACATTGTGCTGAAGTCTGAAGAGAACCTTGCTTCCTGTGAAGATCTGTTCTCACGAAGTTCGACGGATGGATCGATTATCTCTTTCGCGTCTTTTCTCGATTTAAAAACAACTACGTCAGTATTATCGTCATCCTGGGGAGGGTCTGCCGTGGTTTCCGTTAGATTGGTTTGAACCTGATTTTGAGTTTCGGTCTGACGTTGATTTGAGAAAATAACTTCGTCTTCATCCTCTGCCGCATCTCGCAGCATGTTATACGTGGTTCTGATGACCTTTTCTATATATAGAGGTCGGGTATACGCAGCCAAAAACAGGCAATTCTGCATCATGATAGCTCCATATATCATTACGACAACATCACCAGTGTACATTGTACACAAATAACCCACTAGAATCGGCACCACGCTGTTGCCCACAGAAGGCGCCATACGCACTATACGTTGAGCCATTGTAAGCTTTTCTCTGAAGTAGTGCGTTATGATTACATCAGTCTGTTGACCGGTCAACGCGCAGCCGATGCCTGAAATCGAATCGAATTAATATTAAATTTGGTATTCCTTTTTGTTTCATTACCATTATTTACAAATTTTTTTTAATAGAATAGGGTGACAATCGAGCACCAGTCCACCTTATGGTAAGTAGTTGCTGTGGCCCATAGACATCTATATCTGTCCTCGATTACGAAACAAAATGCAGATACGTTGTCACCCGTGAGGAGTTAGGTGGAATGACCCGTTTCCAGTAAAAAGGGTCTCCGGTTCTCTACACTCACCATACGAAACACAGGAGCATTAAGCTACTATTTGACGCTGGTATTCTGTGAGAGCGTGGTTCCTCCCCGGTCGAGCCGATCTATTCGTGCTACAACTATACTATTAATATAACTGCAGCATGGCTCTACCACGTAAAAATTTTGTGAGAGGGGTCATCGGCTTCGTGAATTGTCACATTTGAGGACGGATTGATGATCGCTATATTACATTAATATCATCGCAATTAAAAGATAATATACTTTCTTTTAGATTTTCCTTAGGCGACATTAATAGCACACGCGAGATCAGTTCTTTAGTTAAAAGTTTATTATTTTATACGGTAGGCAGCTCCGTCTCGTATACAGAAAGATGAGAACGCCTCCATCCCATTTTATCCCTTTGGTAAGCTAAGAATTACCGTTATCGTACTACAGTCTGTCATAAATCCTCTGCTGAACATAGGTCTCCTTTAGAAATTGCCTTATAGGGGATCCCCCCTAAAATACCTGGTTGCCACGCTTGGCGGGCGGGACAATGGCAGTGAAATGAAATTGATTTGCACAAATGGGAATTGGCAACCGCGGTTTTTACCGACGTAAGAGTAAACCGCAGGAAACAATCAAAAGCTTTTTTATGCTTTGGTAGGTAGAGAAATAAAATTAAAGCCATATCGGATACATTTTATACGTGGTAGAGCCATGCTGCAGCTATGTAATGGTTATGGTTATATTAGTACTATAGTTATAACATGAATGGGTCGTCCCGACCGAGGAAGGACCACGCTCTCACAAAATACCAACGTAAAATAGCAGCTAAATACTGCTGTGTTTTGTACGGTGAGTGTAGAGATCCGGAGACCATTTTTTACTGGAAACGAGGCATTCCATCTTAGTCCTCACGGGTGACAACGCATCTGTAGGTATTTTGATTCGTAATCGAGGATACATGTAGGTGTCTATGGGCCACAGCAACCACTTAGCATCAGGTGGACTGTGTGCTCGTTTGTCACCCTATCCTACAAAATAAAAACATGCGATCTACAACACGCTTGAAAGCGCGGATGTTACGTGAAATCCTGTCTTACATACTCAGGAAAAGAACAAGTAGAGGATGATTTCTTATATTTACGCGAACACTACACATTGAAATAATACTAGTTTTTACGGATTTTATCGCGTGTATTTAACTATAAATACCCGACGTTTCAAGCGCTTTACAAAGTAGAGGATAACTTTGAGATTTTATGTGCAGATGGCGACTTCTGTCATAAAAAATATTGTCATACAGTTTATCATGACTAAACAAACTGGAATTATTCTCAAGTTATTACAGATGTTAAAAAATCAATTGGCATAAGAAATGTGATCTTCCATGATTCATGTCCACATATTGTTCAAAAGCCACATCATTATCATCATTACAGCCCTTCACAAGTCCACTGCTGAACATAGGCCTCATCAAAAGCCACATCAATTAAAATTCAATTTGCTAATCTTATCTGACCCTAAATAAATTAATTGATTTCGTTTCACTCGAAATAATATTTCCAAAGAGTTTTTAATTAACGTAACAAATTACGCGATTTTCGGTATTATAGTAACATTCTGTGCCTCTACACCTAAGGTGAGCTGACATGGTGTCGAAAGGAAGTATGTAATGAAAATACGATTAAGTACGTACATACTATAACATAGTATGTCTGATATAATATAGTATAGGTAGTCTGTCTGATAATGAAATAATCTCAAAGTGCTTAAGCAATAAGGAGCAATCAGTGAGGAGGAATGGAATATTCGCTAAGTAATCATCAACCAACCAAGATAGTATTTATTTCCCTACGTTGAGCAGTGGATATTACAATCGTAATAAAGCATTGCCTATACATAATATAACTTATTGAAACATATTATGACACACCTACACTTATCAGTAAAAAAGTACCTAATAATGATATAAAGGTATTGAGAATGACACATTTTCAAGTTTTTCTAAATAACATGATTTCCAATCACATAACTTTAAATAAAGAAAACACTTATCGTAACAATTGATTAACAAACATAAAGGTATACAAAAATTACCTGCAAATATTCCAGAGAAAATATTGACTATGTGGTCATTACTGTATGCGTTCGTCGAATAACTTGATAGTAAAACACCAGCTACAGTTAAACTGAGACCAGAAAGAGCAATGAACCGAGGCATATTAAAAATCTTCACCATGGCCCTGCACCAAGACTCTAATAAAAGTCTTATGATCACCATTATCACAGGCACTAAAGCTATGTCCATATCCCATAGTTTCAATACTTCTCCTTCATCATGATCCTCTTCTCTGATTGCTTTTAAAATAATGAGTCCATATAAACTCAAAACTGCAGGTACAGTTATGTGATACATAGCTGCTGAAAAAACAATAAGCCACCCGTATCCTCCATCTGGAGGTGTGGGACCAATTTCTGGTTGAGATGCCACTACACTGTCTAAATGAAGATCCTCTATTCGATCACCTCTCTCTGCACGGTTAACGTTTATATTACTCTGAGCCTCCATATTTTAAACGATAAACAATAACTACGATAAATTCATGTCTATAATGAGGTGGTCAATGAGTTATCTATATGCCACAAATTATCTTATCACTTATCTTGTCCTGTAATCTAATGGACTAAATTTTTGAAAGAGCCGCCAAATTGTAAGATTAGTGCAAAAATTACTATAAAATATCTTATTAAAATATATTGAATTCTATATAATTTTAATATATAATGTACTTAAACGAATTACAATATTATTATGTATTAAACTATTAATAAAAAATATTTAAAAATATAAAAAACAAACAAATTTCGGAACGCTAATTGACGTCTGTAATAACATTACCAAATAAAGATGTCGTCTAAATTGCAGTAGAAAGAGAAACTACATCACAATTCGTGAAGCATAGATAAAGACAAATAATGAATTAAGTGAAACGTTTGCTAAGATCTCATAATCTTTAATAGTTTCCTACAAATTTTTCTTAGGGATGAATTCTTTCCGAAAAAGATCGATTTTTAAATCGATTCGAAGTGAAATCTGATGAATCAATTTAAAAAAGAAATCGAAATATAAAAGATCTATTTTCTCATACATCGATCTTTTTTTCGATTTGCTTTCAGAGTTTATATTTACAATATCAAAAGATACAACAAAATAGATTACAAACATAACTTATTTTATTTCTTTAATCCATTAAGAAGAGACGAAAGAAACTGAGCACACAGGGGCCCTGAGGATTGCGATTTTTTAAATAGAAAAACTGTCATTTCTTACGAGTTTGGGTACAATCAACTAATTGCAAATAACTTTATAATTCTTATAAAAACAGAAAAAGATTCGATTTTGTGAAATACCAATTCATTGGATCGATTAAAAAAAATCGATCTTTTTGGCATCTTTTAATCGATCTCAGATTGCCATGCCTATAAAAAATTATTTATAATTTATTTATGATTTCGTTTGACCCATAGACCAAGTATAGTTTGTAGGGATGTGAGATTAATGAAAAAAGATCGATTACTTATTCAAAATTAATCGATATGTCAAAAATAAAGAATCGATTTTTTGTATTATTTAAAAGTACATAGAAAGTAAAGTTACAGCCTATTTACGTCCCACTGCTGGGCTCAGGCTTACCCTCATTTCTGAGAGGGTTTTAGGGCAAGGAAGGGTCCACCGCGCTGCCTCAATGCGTCTTCACATGTATTCGAAATATTTTTTTCTTATTTCTCAGACATGCAGGTTTCCTCACGATGTTTTCCTTCACCGCCAAGCACGTGGTAAATCAGCACTTAAAATTGCAATTAACAATTTCATTGGTGCCGGCGGGGATCGAACCCGGTTTGCTCGCGTATTGTGAAATTTACAGCGAGCGCTGACCATCTGAGCTACCACGGCTCCCAACCAATTCAAAACTAAAAATCAATAGCAATGTTTCTTTGAAATTTCAAGGTAAGGAATTAGGAAACCAAATAGCATTATTGATACAAGTTTTAGTACTATTAAACGTTTTATTTATTATAATAAATATGAAATGATGAGCATCCCAATAAAATGACAAACTTATTGTCTCAAAAACTAAAAAATAAATCAAATAAAAAAATTGTCATAAATGTCCAGTCGTATTTTACATTTCACTAGTTTTAAAATAAAAAAAGACGTGTGGCACTCGGGGACTGCCGCGGTAAAGCTATTGCATAGCATTTTGTATCAACTTATGCAATTATAATTATTTATTTATTTTATTTATGCAGTATTTCTTTTTCTTTGATATTAATTCAAGTTACTTAGGTTAATCCAATCAAATTCAACCAGATTTAACCGAACCCGCGTTATAACGAACTCACTATTTGTGAAAAATACTGTATCACCGGACCGCGTCGCAAAAAAACTCAGGTTCGCGCAGTACATACGTCAGGGCGGCCGTACGGCAATTATATTAACAAGACGCGCAACTACTCAGTTCCACGCTCCACGGCAAGATTTGTCACTTATTATTTATTGTCCAATTAATTGTCTTTAAGTTCAAATGGCACGCCCTATTAACATAAGTCTAAGACAAAACGAGGAGACTTTCAATATATGAACAACTATATTTTTCTAACTGTTGTTTTAAACTGTTATAATATATTATAACAGTTTTTAATATTACATTGTACACGCGGTTAGTTCAGTTCAGTCGTCGGCTGTGTTCGCGTTTTGTTTAACGAAAAATAAACAAAAACAACAATAGCTTTTTCACGTAATATGGGGACCTGCTATCAAAATATTACGTATATAATTTAACAGATAACAGTGTCATTGTCATCTCAGTTAGACAGCTAACTGAACACTAAACTGATATATTATATATTACAACAGCCAAATTAAATAACAGGCACAACAGGCAACTAATGGAGGAAATAATATATTTTTGTTTACCGTTTTAATTTAGTTTTAGTAAAATAAGCTCTTATTAAGTTAGCTTAGAGTTTAAATTAGTGTAAGCTATACGCAATCCTTGTGGCATAATGAATGTAGGTAGTATTTTATTGACTCCCATTGTCTCGGCCGATGCGACGGTTGGACCGTAAACGTAAACAGATGACGCTTTCTAACGATAATGCATATAATATTATAACAGTCAATGGTTCATTATTCTAATGTGTTGTAAGATTAAAAATATATAATGAAATATATTACCTGTTGTATGTTATAACGCCCAACTTTAGGGGTGACCGACCGCGCGCACAAATGCAGCTAGCCTCCCCCTCCCGCACCTCACTAATCGTCGCTTCACACCGCTTGAGATAAGACGATCTACTATCAGGCGCTAACAAACCCCCGTCCCGGACATAAGGACCTATGTCCGCGAGTAAATTGGCAATTAGAAGACGCTTTGTATTGTTGGTTTTTACAAAAACGATCAACTGGGCAAATGATATCTGGCCCTTTGCTTTGTGAAAAAGCATTACAGTTAAATAAAAAATTAGGTGACGGCGGCTCGGATGGTTATATAGACTTATATCTCTTCATGGAATTTAATCAATGTTTATTAAAAAATAATAATTTCTTAATAAACATTGATTTTCGTTGAAATTGTTGTTTTTAATAAACACATAACATTATGTATGTACAATGTACTACAAATGCACAAAACCCGCTTTTCTTCATACATTCGATCATCCGGATTTTCGATTATCCGAATCCCTAACGGCAACAATTAGTCCGGTTAATCGAGTATATATATATATATATATATATATTTTTTTTTTTTTACATATTGAGAATCTAAATTGAGAATTTAAACTATACGCGTGTGTGTGTTTGTGTGTATATAAAGAGGGCTACTTTTAATATCGCTCATTTTAATATCAAAAATTTAGGTTATCTTTATAGCAGTATTATATTTTCAATTCAAAATTAGTATTGCATTTGTGATAATAATAAAATGTAGGTATGTATATAGAGTACTCACTCATTTTCTTTCACTATTTTTTCGTGACTTTCTTCATTAATAATAAATGCACTTTGTTCATTCATATTCAAAATTTCAAAACACTTTATACACAAACACCGTGTCGAAGACTGAGGAAAAGAAACGACGTTAGACCATCGTTAGACAATGCACGGCCTTCAAGCCACACCTCCGTGCCCGTCGGAGAGCGTGAGGTTTTTTTCGTTACGAAATTTCTGGATTTTCCCGCACTCAAGGCCCGTGATAGAAGCTATGCAATAGCTTAATAATTAAAATGAGAATTAAAAAAAGAGTCCTATTTTATATACGTTACCTGTAAGACAGAGGAATGTTTTCGTTCTGTTGTGCTGTTTTGATTTTTAGTACGACTAAAAGTTTTTAATTCTTTCGGACAGTATTTGCATAAGTGCTGTGGTATTATCTTTCTTCGTTATAAAATACTTTGGCTAGCCGCTTTTAAGTGTTTTACAGTTAGAAGACATTTATTTATATTGTTTACCAACAACGACAACAATTTATCTCACTCACCACTACACTGAAATGACTTTACACGCATGCATACACGTCTACAGATGCCACCGTTTATATTTAATTATCTTATACGTATTGAACTTAATTCAAGATTTTTCATCCAATGCATAGATAGCGCTGTTTATAAAATTGAAATTTACTGCAAGATTTTTTCTTCCGTCGCATAGATACGAGCTGTTTCTAAAAATCGATTTAAGCACATAATTTATTTAATCGACTTACTAAAATCGATTATTTCTTAACATCCCTAATAGTTGGACCGATATCGTAAGAAACGGACGCTCCTATTAGAAAATACTCATAAAACATCAATAGTGCAATGGTAAATTCCGTATTCGTTACTATGACAAACTATTCATGAAGTTACCTATCCAATGTGATGTCGTTTTTATCGATTTTATTTCAAGAAATTGTGGTTAATATAAGGGCATTCCTAAGTCGAGTTCAAGCATTATAATTGCTCTGGTTCGGTGGTTTGATTTCATGGTGGATTATTGCAGGTTCATCCGTGTAATTACTCATGGGTAAGGACCGGGAGCAAGTGATAACTGTAAAAATTGACGATGGAGACTGAATCTGTGAGGTCGGAATTAAGCAGCCGATCACGGCGCAGCTCCCGGCACAGACCGCACACTCATAGAAGTACACGGTAAATATTGTTTCAAAATAAATTTTAGCACATTAATCTTTTAATATTTGTTTATTCTAACTACGTTTTCAATATGTTGTTATAATTGAAATCTTAAAATAATGTCACCTAAGACCATTTAATTTTAGCTATTGAAAAACCCATAATTTAAAAATCAACTATAATATAATATCTTTAACAATGTAATTTGTAAACCAGTTTTGGCTTTTTAACAAAAGCAATCTTTAATTACTATATAGCGTTGCTTATTGTTTATATGAAGTTTTAATCACAATTTTGACATTAGTAAAAATATGTAGTTATCTATAAAATTTTAATAAATAACATCCTGTTCTGAGTGTCCACTTTACACTTATTTTATAGATAGAACTTGTA